CAGATACCACAGAGCTCTTGTGGCCTCCATGACACGACAGGTCAGAGCTGTTTTAGAGACAAAAGGGAAACCTAGTCAGCATTAGTTGGGTCATCATCATGTCATGGCTGATGCGTGTACATTCAGCACATCCCTAATCCTAGCCTAAGGTGGATGTATGAAACATTTTGATTGCTAATGCACACTGTATTATAAACAGTTGTCTTTTAAAAAAATACGTTTTAACTTTTTAAATCTGTTGTTGCATTTCAGTGCGGATTTCCTGGAGGTCTTTTTTTAAGCACTTTCTGTCCACATCTACTGTAATGATGACTAAATTGCATTACTCAAAGAGTGTTTCCTGATGGTGACAACTGTGAACCACGTCTGCATAAAGTGAGATGAAATGGCCACTTGTAGTCTCCATCAGAAGCCTGGGTGACAACGCAGGATAACAACTGGGAGAAAAGCATGCGTTCCAAATGGCGGAAGTGACGTCGGCAGAAGTTGCGTCATTAACCAATTCAATACCGGGCAATTTTACACCTTCCTGCCCAGGCCATTTTTCAGGTTTCAGCGCTCTCACACTTTGAATGACAATTGCGCGATCATACAACATTGTACCCAAACTAAAATTGTATAATTTTCTTCACACAACTAGAGCTTTCTTTTGGTGGTATTTAATCACCGCTGGGGTTTTTATTTTTTGCTAAATTAACAAAAAAAGACCAAAAATTTTGAAAAAAAACCCACGTTTTTCTTTGTTCTGTTATAAAAGTTTACAAATAAATAATTGTTCTTCATAAATTTAGGCCGAGATGTATTCTGCTACATGTCTTTGGTGAAAATAACCCAAATTAGGATGTATTATTTAGTTTGTAGGAAAGTTATAGAGTTCACAAACTATGGTATAGATCTGAATATTGATCAATCCTGAAGTACTGACAGCCAATCTAATTTCTTGAGGTCCAAGAATGTCAGAATAGTACAGATATCCCCCAAATGACCCCTTTTTGCAGAGTAGACAGTCCGACGTACTTCATAAGAGGCATGGCGAGTTTTTTGAAGTTGTATTTTTTTTGTCATAATTTTTCGGAAAGTGAAAAAATAAAAAAAATTATTTTCACTATTTTTTTTTTACATACTGTCACCAGTGCAGTACAGCGTCATCATATAACTGGCATGGCGGTGATCAGGGACACTGACTGGTGACAGTATAAAAAAATAAAATATATATATATTTTTTTTTTTTTTTTATTTTTTAATTTTTTATTACATTTTTTTTTAAGATTTTTTTTCATATTTTACTATGACCAAAGTAGTACAATGTTACCATAGTAACATTGTACTACTTTGGGGGAAGTGATCAGTATTTTTTTTTTTTTTACACAATTTGCTTATAGCAAAGAATTACTTTGCTATAAGCAAGCATTTACCTGAATGAAATCGATTCATTCAGGTTTTTTTTTTTTTTGTGCTTAGCTGTGACTTGGCCACAGCTAATCACATGACATGTGACCTGCTGTGACCATTCACAGCTAGACACTAGTATACAATGGATGGCATGAATGAAGCCATCCATTGTATACAACTGTCATGTGACCTGCTGTGATTAGTCACAGCAGGTCACATGGTACCGGCAACAGGGGCCGGTACTCAGATCTGTCATCGGCCGTGTCCAAGGTACACGGCCGGTGATAGATCGCGCCGCTGCGCGGCTCTGCAACCGCGCGCCAAATGGTGTACACCCCAGAAAGCGAATGCATTTTTGCGGCCGCCAAACGGCTATAGGCCGGGCGGCTAATGTTTAAACCTCGACGCGTTTCGACCAATAGATCATCATCAGGAAGTGCCGCGTCGAGGTTTGATGATGCAACTTCCGTCCTTTAGAACGCATGCTGAAACGTATTTTGGTTACTAATAGCAACGCTGTGGAAGAACATTGGTCAACAACATCACGTTGTAAATTGGGATAGTCCCAATTAAAGAGCTAGTGACCGTCCTAGAGATAGGTTGTCATTGTATGATGGTGAGTGCAGATCCATTTGGGGCACCAGTCTGAGCACAGTGGAGCACTTGTCACTTTAATATGGAGTTCACAATCAAGAATTTAGCACACTTGCACCTTATGTTCACATATTGGGACTGCATACCTAATACAACCAGTTTAATTAGATGTTTATTACTTATGATTATTGATTATTTTTGAGTGTCATCAATATTTTTTTATTTTTTCTTGTTTATCGGTAATGGGATGAATGCTAAATACCATGTGGACCGCACATAAGTTGTGTAATGTACACTGAGCTGTGCATGCTGGGTGATAAGAAGCCTTTATTGCAGAAGAGATGTGGGGTTGGTTTACTTAAACTGGAGTGTGCAAAATCTGGTGCAGCTGTGCATGGTAGCCAATCAACTTCTAACTTCAGCTTGTTCAATTAAGCATTGCCCAAAAAAATAAAAATGGAAGCCGATTGGTTTCTGTGCAGTATTTTGATGAGTCACTGCTGGGAGGGGGGAGCAGGGGGCTCTGAGCTGCTGATAAACTCACTACTGGGAGGGGGGCGCAGGGTAAGCTGAGTCAGTGCTGGGAATGGGAGCTTAAAGTCGATTATAGATGGCTGGTCTTTGCTGAACCGGCTGGATTTCAATCCATCTATGGCCATTCCCACGCAAGAGAAGTTGACTATTGATTAGCTTCACTATTTTCATTCGATCAGCACATGTAGCCAATTGGCTGCAACAAAGATCAGAGTATTCTGAGAATGGAGGCGTCCCCACTGTCAGAGGGGGAGCAGGAAGCACAGAGCTGTTGAATCATTGCTTAGAATGGCAGCTATACTCCTGGGTCACTGCTGGGAGGGGGAGCATAGAGGCAATGAGCAGATGAATCATTGCTTAGAATGGCAGTTATTCTCCTGGGTCACTGTTGGGAGGGGGAGCAAAGAGCACTGAGCTGTTGAATCATTGCTTAGAAAGGCAGCTATACTCCTGGGTCACTGCTGGGAGGGGGAGCAGGGAGCACTGAGCTGTTGAATCATTACTTAGAAAGGCAGCTATACTCCTGGGTCACTGCTGGGAGGGGGAGCAGGGAGCACTGAGCTGTTGAATCATTGCTTAGAATGGCAGCTATACTCCTGGGTCACTGCTGGGAGGGGGAGCAGGGAGCACTGAGCTGTTGAATCATTGCTTAGAATGGCAGCTATACTCCTGGGTCACTGCTGGGAGGGGGAGCATAGAGGCAATGAGCTGTTGAATCATTGCTTAGAATGGCAGTTATACTCCTGGGTCACTGCTGGGAGGGGGAGAATAGAGGCACTGAGCTGCTAAACACTAATAATAACATATAAATCCAGTCCCAAATTACATCACCAATCTTGTCTCCAAATATCACCCAAACTGCCCTCTCCGCTCCTCACACGACCTCCTGCTCTCGTCTCCTCCTCCCATGCTTATCTCCAGGACTTCTCCAGAGCCTCCCCATCCTCTGGAACTCTCTACCCCAATCTATCTGATGATCGCCTACTCTGCCCTTTTAGGTGATCTCTTATCTCTTCAGGGAAGCCTTTCCTGCCTTCAGTTAATAACGGAATCTTCTATTTCTCCTATCAGTTCATCCCACACAGTGATTACCCTTTGTACCACCAGCCCCTCCCTCTTAGATTGTAAGCTCCGAGGAGCAGGGCCCTCCTATCCCTCTTGTATTGAACTGTATTGTTGCTGTATTATCTCCCTTTATATTGTAAAGCGCTGAGCAAACTGTTGGCGCTATAGAAATCCTGTATAATAATAAGTCACTGCTTGTAATGGGAGTTGAACGTCTAGGCCACTACTGGGGAAAGGAAATGGGACAAGGGCAGCTGAGTTGTTGAGTCACTACTGAGAGGGCAGAGCAGGGTGAGCTGAGATGCTGAGAGAAGGACTGGAATGACATCTGTGCTTCTGCTGTGACCTTTAAGGCTCCATGTACACTGCAGCTTCTAAACTCGGGTTTAGGAGCTTTTGACATTTATTTGCCAAAGCTCCTAAACTCAACTCCATAAAAGCCTGTGTGTCCATGTTCACATAGGCTTTTAGCAGAGTTTAGGAGCTTCCACGTTTAAGTGAGGTTAAACCTCCCTCTCCTGAACACAGAAGAATTGCGTTCAGGATAGGAACGTTTTGACCGCCGGTAGTGTGAAAACGTGGCAAAGTTGCGGTACCAAAGTTACCACAATTTGTGGTTTCCTGCGGCCGGCATTCAGGGTAGGCTCGTGTACATGGAGTTTCGGTATGGTGATTTTTACATGGTCCAGCTTGGACAAGAAATCACAGGAAATGACGGTAGTAGGCTCCATAATACAGTGATTGCTGAGCGGCTGCCATGCTGCACACAGGAGGTTGCCTGCTCTGCACAGGCATCATTCAGAGAACATTTTGCATTTTCTCAACCTGGACCAATGTACCTATGCAAAAATTGCTACACCTAAACTTCAGCTTTAAGAATGAATTGTTCCACAGTGCCTGTAGTTACGGAGATCAGTCTGGATGTGTTTCAGACCTTATTAACGGCTTAACAACATGTAAATACTGTATTCTTCACTCCATAAGACACACGTTTTTGCCCTTATGGAGCGGCCGGCCCAGTATTCCAACCCCTCACCGCCGCAGTGTTAGAATACCGGGCTGGCCGCTCGGCTCTTCTGTGGCAGAAGAGAGGAGGAGTCCGAGTCAGCAGTGCAGCAGCGCCGGGCAGGGCCCAAAGCAGCTGCCCCTTAAAGCGGAGTTCCAGCTGAAAAAAAAGTCAGCAGCTACAAAGCTTGCAGCTTCACAACCGAGTTCCCACTGCACATGCGTGAGAAGCACTGTGCTTTGTGAATGGCCCCGTAATCTTGTGGGACCTGTCACGTGTCCCAGAAGACTATGGGGAGGGAGGACAACTTCTGCTTCCGATCGCCTAGGCAATCACAGCGAAAGTGGGAGCAGGTACCCGTCAAATTTTGGTACCCACTCCCCAAAGGTCTGCAGTCTCTGGTCATCTGCTGTACTATGTCCGCAGTCTCTGGTCATCTCCTGTACTGTGTCCGCAGTCTCTGGTCATCTCCTGTACTATGTCCGCAGTCTCTGGTCATCTCCTGTACTGTGTCCGCAGTCTCTGGTCATTTCCTGTACTGTGTCTGCAGTCTCTGGTCATCTCCTGTACTATGTCCGCAGTCTCTGGTCATCTCCTGTACTGTGTCTGCAGTCTCTGGTCATCTCCTGTACTAGGTCTGCAGTCTCTGGTCATTCCTGTAGTATGTCTGCAGTCTCTGGTCATTTCCTGTAGTATGTCTGCAGTCTCTGGTCATTTCCGCAGTGTACTATATCTGCAGTCTCTGGTCATCTCCTATACTGTGTCTGCAGTCTCTGGTCATCTCCTGTACTGTGTCCGCAGTCCCTGGTCATCTCCTGTACTATGTCCGCAGTCTCTGGTCATCTCCTGTACTGTGTCTGCAGTCTCTGGTCATCTCCTGTACTGTGTCCGCAGTCTCTGGTCATTTCCTGTACTCTGTCCGCAGTCTCTGGTCATCTCCTGTACTATGTCCGCAGTCTCTGGTCATCTCCTGTACTGTGTCCGCAGTCTCTGGTCATCTCCTGTACTGTGTCTGCAGTCCATTGGTTCAGAATAATTTTTTTTCTTGTTTTCCTCCTCTAAAACCTCGGTGCGTCTTATGGTCAGGTGTGTCTTATGGAGCGAAAAATACGGTACCTGAATGTTCATTGCCAGGCTATGGTTACAATAGAATGTTATTTGGTAATGCTGGCAAAAGTCAGGAGTCATGTGTGATAGTTAATGATAGTTCCACTTTATATAATAATAGGTCATATAGGCTTTTCTGGTCAGACCTGAGCTCAGTGTTGAGTAAGCCGAGAGACAGCTGAAGTAACAATAGGAAGCACATGTGAAAAAAAATGGAGAAGTTCTGAATAAGAGGTCTGATCTAAACTGGAGAATTATAGCGAATTATGAGGAAGTTCCATTGTGCAATATCTTTAAATTTCAAAAACAGAAGACAAAGAATTGCAAAGCTTTCACAAACTACATTGTAGATGACCATGGAAACAGCTTAAAGTGTATATGTGGGCAATATATAAGGACCCAATACCACCATAACGTGTGTAGCACCCTCCTAGTTTAGCTAGAGGAAGCTAAACCCTTTTGGCTAGTGAGGAGCTGATTAGCAGCTCAGGTGAGATAGCCAGAGGGCTTAAACTCTGATCAGGACTGAGAGACTCTGCAGGCCATCCCCACAGAAATTTCCCCTGCTCTGAAGCTTTTAGAGGACGGCCTTTCAGACAGTGGGTGGATCTGAGGAGTGGTTGGCTGCACTTTTGAGGTACCTACGGACCTCAGCTATTCCCAACAGGGGGATTGGAAGGGGATGGACTCCCCTAAAAGTGATGGAGCTTGCTCAGTAGGAGGAGAGTCAAGTGGAAGACTGCAAGGCTGGAGGAGAAAGGCTGCCAGGAGGCCTAGTGGGAAGGGGCCTGCCTAGAGCTGGAGAGGAATCACGCAGGAACCACTGGCCCCCTGAGAGTGGACCACCTGTAAGGCAGGGAAGGAGCCACCCAGCCAATAGGCCTAGTAGCAGCAGCCATTCCGCTAACAGGAGAGGATCTGAATGCACCCCCCCGGGCAGATAGGGGAAGGATCACTCTGGTCGGAAACCAGATTAGCCCCCTACTAGTGACTGCAAACCTTGCCTAAATAAACAGGAGCCAGGTCCCCTGCTCAGTAAGAGTCTCCAGATTGTTGGGTGAAGAGTTCATCTAGGGTCTGGGGTAGTACAACTGGAGCTGCTGGCTAGCACTCCAATAAATACTGTGTCAAAGGAAAGAAGCTGTGAATAGTTTGGGAAGTTGTCCTCAGATTTCGGTTTCCTTGGGCCTCCTATGCTCCCCTTTACCCTATCCAAGTTTAGTCCCCTCAATAAAACAACAAAACCAGAGCTCAAGGACTTGTTTCTGTCTGTGGATGAAAGCTTGTGTGGGAAATTCTGACTAGCTGTGCAAGACTATAGGGGGACCCAAATCCATCAGCAATCCCTAAGAGTGTAGTGCTACACGTGTTATGTATGTCATTACCGTGTTATAACACGGTGTTTCTGTATGTGGTAATTGCACCCTGACACCTTACAGTGTGCGCAACAAATGTTCATTATAGAGCACTACAATACACAGACACAGTTGCTTTATGTGCTGTATTGCACATAAAAAAATTACAAAATCACAGGACCTTATTTTGCACTTATTGAATGCCCATTCATTTGAATCGGTTTACTGAAGAAAGATGCCTAAAAGCAAACTCTTTTATGGTGTATATATGCTCCTAACCACTCGAGGACCCCCTTTCTTCCCAGGACAGGCGCTATGACAGTAATTACTTGGTCATGCAATGTACCAAAATTAAATTATTATTTTTCTCTTAAACATTTTTTAGGGCAGTATTTAATAACCACTGGGATTTTACTATATAAAAAGACCAAACAATTTGAAAAAAAATCTGTTTCCCTTGCTTTCTGTTCTAAAACATTGCAAAAGAAAATGCCTGGGGAGTACAACACCCCTAAAGTGACCCCTTTTTGGAAAGAAGATACCCTAAGGTGATTATGCTGTTACACAGTTAATATTTATGTTAATGTACATGAGAATTCATATAGTTTATTCTTTGTACCATTTCCTATGGACATTTCTATAGTTAGTTATGCTGCCATCCAGTGACCTTATTTGGTAATGCACTTGTTTTTCATATTACCTCCCTGAGATCTATGACACAATTCCTTTGTATATGAAGCTCCCCCTTCTTCTTGAGTACAGGACTTCCTGTGTCATGGATGCAGCTAACAGTCCACATGTAACAGGGACACATGTATTCTGCATAGTACGCTACAGAAAGTATCATCTTTTGACCGCATAATACTGGAAACCATTCATTCTGCTGTATCCTGTTGTCACATGTACAGAATAAAGCAACTTCTGGATGAACACAGTATTGGTGAGTTCAACTATCTGATAAGGATTGCCCACAGTGATTATATCTGCTTATACAGGCTAGGCATAGAGAGGTCTCACAAGGGATAAATCGCTATCACAACAATCTGAGTCAGAATAGTGAATTTTTTGGAAATGAATAAACATATAAATATTGAGAGGGATATGGAGATTGGCAATGGTGTACTAGATATGTTAAAAAGTGACACTAAACGTGATTTAAAAATTAAAAAATAACTTGATTTAGAAGAGAAATATGGGGTTGGGGAATAAAAAAAAACAATTTATAGTCACCTATAGGCATCAGTCCCCCGCTGGCTCTGCACTGAGAACTGAGTGATCAGACACCACTGATCACTCTGAACAGAGAGCAGGGACTGTCAGTCACTGGCTCTCTGCTTTGCCCCTCCAGCGCTCACTGGAGCACTAGGCGTGGGAGGGAGCAGCAGCACAGCTGAGAGCCTGAGCCAGTTGCCGGTCCATGCATCTGGGCAAATTCCAACCATATTGCCTTGATATTTCCAACAAAACATAACAAACGTACCAGCCTAGTACATTATCAAAGCAAACATTAATTGTAAAAATGAAAATAAATCTACTCACAAACGATTTGACAGACAGAGCTCATCAACGTAAGAGTTATTCCTTCCACTCCGCAGACTCCTGGGCTTGGGAGGGCATCACCTGAACCCCAACTGGCTTACATTGTGGGGGAAGTACCCTCTTCCTCAGAGCCAAACTTCCCTCAAAACGCATAAGAGGTTGGGGTTCAGGTGATGTCCCCCCAAGCCTAGCAGTATGCGGAGTGGATGGAATAGCTCTGTTACTATAATAAGTTCTATCCAGGGGCAGACTGACAACTCATTGGGCCCCCGGGCAATAGGGGATCATGGGGCCCCTGTGTCCTTGCCCAAACTCAAAAAAGCCTATGAAAAAAGTACCAGGGCATCTCATGGGGCCCCCTACTGACCCCGGGCCCTCGGGCAGTGCCCGAATTTCCAAATGGTCAGTCCGCCCCTGGTTCTATCATATTGTTTGTGAGTAGATTTACTATCATTTTTACAAGTTTCATCTTTACTGGGATAATGTACTAGGCTGGTACGCCCTCTGTTTCTTGTAGTCTTCAAATACTTTATTGGGTTTTCCCTGGTCAAAGAAGACAGCAAACGTGGAACTATGAAGTGGAACATATCTCCAATGAAGAGATGGATGGATTTGAATGTCTGATATTAGACCACCACACTTATGTGCAGGAGGTGTTTTGCTGGGATCTTTCCAGAGCCTGGACTGGCTCTGTGACGTTAGCTGACAGCGGGTTTTAGCTTGCTGTCGGCTCAAACCGCGTCACAGCAATGCAGACCTAAGCGTACTCCTGTAATCCAAAGGAGAGGTAGGGCCAAAATAGCTTTGGCCGTACTTCTCCTTTAAGTATATATTCCTAACTCAGAAAAGTCCCTTCTATTGCTCTTATGCAGGCCACAGACGGGTCGTTTATCGGCCAAATTTTTGTCCGCAAGCAAAATCGGCCGATATTCACGTCGTTAGTGGGGCCAGCCCGTCGGCCATTTTTCGCGGATCTTCTTGTTTATTTTTATCGGTCATGCTGGAGAATCCACGAAAAACATCGGTGGCAGCATCGACCGATTTTCCATTTATCGGCCGACAATTCGGCCGATAAACAGCCTGTCTGTGGCCAGCCTTAGAAGAGGTTAATGTACAGATGCCCAAGATAAGGGAGGTGGGGGGTTAATAAACAGGTCATTGCAAAGACAGGATGGAGCCGACATATAATGTAGAGGAGTGACTAGTCACTGTACTGGATGACATTGGAACTGGCTGCGAAAATATTTTTATGTAAACTTTTTTGTTTTCATCCACCTTGTTTGTTTGTGTAGAGCTGCACTCAAACAGACACAAAATGTAATAAAAACAACTATTAGTAAGTAACGTCATCAAGCTTTGTATAGGAAAAATATTTTCAGAGCTTTCACAAAGAGACGTGTGGCAGTTCGATGATGGGAGAAGAGCTGGGAGTTGAACTGGGCAAAAGTGTTCCTTGTTTTTCTCTTTGAAATGTTGGAGAACGTGTTATTATGCCATTGTACATGTAATGACAAAAACACATAGAACAACTGTTGATTTGAAGCTCTGAAAAACAAACTGCATAATGCACAGCGACTGTGGCTACTACAGAAACTGATTTTAGTAAAGAGCATTACAGCAAACATCCAGGATGGTTACAACAAGAAACTGTCCATATTGTATTGGGAGTAACAAGTTTTGGGGCAGCTTTTGGTTAGCTTGGCAGTTAGCCGTGTTGTTTTTGGAACAACTAAACATGAAATTTTGCCAGAAACGTAACATAAATTGTCTAGGTATGGGGATGAATATTTTATTTATTTCAGGTACTTATATAGCGCCGTCAATTTACGCAGCGCTTTACATATATATATTGTACATTCACATCAATCCCTAACCCTCAAGGGGTGTACAATCTAAGGTCCCTAACTTACATTCATACATATACTATGAACAATTTAG